AGGCCTGCATTAGAATGTTTGCATTATAACAGATTGTGCCGTTGGGCTAGATTGCTCTTAATCTGTCAAGTTACAATTTACTAGAAATATTTCCTTTTAATTCTTTGAAGGCAGGTGAGGCTTGAGTCAGTTTAACACCTTTAACCGAAGAGGTGGCATGTAAACCAGTATCTAGTCACTTTGACCCTTTAGACTTACGCTAAGGTACAGGCAAGGTCAAAGGTCTATTTGAAATGTAAGGCTTTGTGAGGGGAAACTGAGGCAATACTTCCAAAGTTAGATGGAGGTGTCTGATCAAAGAAGAACAGACTGAAATAAATTGCATTGCTGGGGTGCTAATGGAAGTTTAAGCAAGGTGCTCGATAAACAGTAAATTCTGTCCCATTTTTCACATAAAAGGGCACACGCTATATGAAACCTGTGAGGCAGCATAAGACACCTGAAATCAGAGTGCCTGTATGTGAGGGGCCGCCTGGCCAAGTGGGCCAGAGATGTGGCACCCAGAGGCTGGAATTGGGGGAGAGAAGATGCTCCTGCATAAGAACGGCCATACTGGGTCAGACCAAAGGTCCATCTAGCCCAGTATCCTGTCTGCCAACGGTGGCCAATGCCAGGTGTCCCAGAAGGAGTGAACCCAACAGGTAATGATCAAGCGCTCTCTCTCCTGCCATCCATCTCCACCCTCTGACAGACAGAAGGTAGGGACACCATATCTTACCCAACCTAGCTAATAGCCATTAACAGGGCTTGACAAGCAGCGGCCAGCCCCGCTCGCCAGCCGCGCAGTTTGGTACACTGTGCATGCGCAGACACTGATCGCGCTGCGGTGCTGTGCCGGGCTAAAATCTACTTGCCCTGGGCAAGTAGGTTGCCCTATTTGTCGAGCCCTGGCCATTAATGGACATCACCGCCATGAATTTATCTAGTTCTCTTTTAAACTCTGTTATAGTCCTAGTCTTCACAACCCCCTCAGGCAAGGAGTTCCACAGATTGACTATGTGCTGTGTAAAGAAGAACTTCCTTTTATTTGTCTTAAACCTGCTGCCCATTAGTTTAATTTGGTGGCCCCTAGTTCTTACATTATGGGAACAAGTAAATAACTTTTCCTTATTCACTTTCTCCACACCACTCATGATTTTATAGACCTCTATTGTATCCCACCCCCTTAGTCTCCTCTTTTCCAACCTGTAAAGTCCTAATCTCTTTAATCTCTCCTCATATGGGACCCGTTCCAAACCCCTAATCCTTTTAGTTGCCCTTCTCTGAACCTTTTCTAATGCCAGTATATCCTTTTTTGAGATGAAGAGATACTGTAAGCAGTATTCAAGATGTGGGCATATCATGGATTTATATAAGGGCAATAAGATTTTCTCCATCTTATTCTCTATCCCTCTTTTAATGATTCCTAACACCCGGGTTTGCTTTTTTACTGCCGCTGCACACTGCGTAGACGTCTTCAGAGAACTATCTATGATGACTCCGATTGTTTTCCTGATTAGTTGTAGCTAAATTAGCCCCCATCATATTATATGTCTAGTTGGGGTTATTTTTTCCCCTGCCAATGTGCATTACTTTACATTTATCCACATTACATTTCATTTGCCATTTTGTTGCCCAATTACTTAGTTTGCTGAGATCTTTTTGAAGTTCTTCACAGTCTGCTTTGGTCTTAACTATCTTGAGCAGTTTAGTATCGTCTGCAAACTTTGCCACCTCACTGTTTGTTTATAAATAGAAGGGCAACTCACTTTCACTGTAAGCTGCAGGGTAGGGGTGTTAAGGACTAGTCGATAAGCAAATACTTATTGGATACTTATTGCTTCTCCTCCCCCCCTCCCCCGGCCTATATCAGATAGAGGCAGCAGGAGGTGAAGAGGGGGGTTCTTCAAAGCAGCAGCGCTGCACTGAGCCCAAGTCTCCGTGTGGTGCTGCCACTTTGAAATGCCGTGGCAGTGTTTCAGAGGGGCAGGGCTGCACAGCTGATCCTGGACTCCATGCGGCACTGCCCCTTTGAAATGCCATGGCAGTGTTTCAGAGGGCAGCGCTGCCCTATCCACTAATTGAATACTCGATGCAAAAATGCACCGACTATTTGATTAGTGAATTACACGGCACTTAACCCCCTTACTGTAGGGGACCTGTCTTGACTGTGTAACCTGTCGACTGTGTCGCTCTGCAAGGCCATGCAGTTGAATTTTAATTTCCTCTTGACTGTAGCTTGTCTCTTAGACCGGTCGGATCTTAGATTGTCTTGGGGGAGCTTGCACAGACCATCCTGGAGAGGTGAACTAATTTTCAGCCTCTCCTAAGGAAGAGCATGCAGCCCACACTGCTCGGTCAGGGCTGTAAGTGCTGTGTAGACGTACCCTTAAACACTCTCAGCTCACTTGGGCTGTAAAACTGTGGAGTAGGTGCTTGGGCTGGAGCCGGCACTTTAGAACAGCCTCTTGGGGTCCCAGAGTTTGGGCTCCAGCTGCAGCCTGAGCCACCATGCTGAGTATTTAGTTGCTCTGTAGAAATCCCTGAAGTCAAGAGGCTGCAAAGCTGGGGACTCTGCTCTTACAGGAGTGTTTCTGTGAGGGCCGTGGCCTGAGACACACAGGGAACCACTAGTGATCACAGACCAGAATTGGCTTTTAAGGTGGAAAAGGTGACACAGGCTATAAAATAAGAGTGGTCAGGGAGTAGGAATGTGCCACGATGTTCTTCACGAATCGGTCTCTAGGTTGGCTGCGTTTAGGAGGGCATCTAGCTTCAAGCACTCTCTTCAGTGTGGCTCCCCATGTAGCCTTGTGCAGATCTGTCCCTGCGCACGCTTTTCCCATGTAGAAAGAGGCTGCCTCTTGTTACAAAGCCGTTTTGCAGCAAAGTTGTAATAAATACGTCCGAGTACCATGTTGGTTCCTTTTGCCTAGGAACTGCAGTTGATTCAGTGGGCTCCTGCAATTTCCTGTGGCATGAAGACATTTAAAACATGAGCATGTGGCTGGCTGGGTGAAGTGTCGCCACAGCTCCCCAAAAGGTGGGGCATGCCCTTTGGTTTAATAAGTAGCCCATTATCTGAATGTGCTGACTCAATGGCCACTTCAGTTGTAGCTTGTGACAGACCCTCTGAGGACTGCCGGTGTAGCTCGTGGCTTGGGTAGTTGGAGACAGGGTCTGTTGTACCCACAGAGCAGTGATTCACGCTGCTACACCTGCTCACGGAGTCCCGTTCCTAAACACGCTGCTGCGGCGTTGGCAGCAAGGAGAATCCCTGCATCTACTGTGGACTCACCAAACCAGCAGCCGCTCCAATGTCCCTGTCAGATGGGCTCTAAATGGCATCAGTGCCCCAATGCTTTGCCCTTAGCCACAGCCATAGCAGAGCATATGCGAAGTATGCCCCCCCCACCCCACCCCCCCAGCTGGAACCTGTGAACTCTGCGTTCCTGCCAGACGTCAGAACACGGCTATCTTCAGTGCGAAGGGATCCGGGCTTTAGACTGTGCTGAAAGCTCTGACTTCTCTGCTGTGGTTGGGATAGTCCTCTCCCTTCTGTACCCTTAGTGCTAGTCGCAGGTCTCTGGTGGGTGAACGCGTCTTCAGCCAGGCTCTGTCCATGGGGGCAATACCTCTGGCTGAAACTCTGCTCTTTGCCGACATAGGCTGGGAAGGGGTGACCTAGTTAACCCTTTCTCTGACTGTACCATCACGGTTTGATCCACTGACGTTATCACCGTGACTGTCAGATCTTACCCATTGACCAGACTGAAGTCTGTCTCTTGGGTGAGAGTATTGGCCATACATACATGTATATTGGCATTCTTTACAGAGCGTGTGGCTGGCAGTTCTCTAATTGAACAGAATGGCTGTCTTCAGCTCCCCTCCCCTCCCCCCACCTCAATTCCCTGCCGTCCATAATAACTGTAGTGCTGTGGCTTGCGGTTTTCAATGAACATCATAGGGAATCACTCGTATCAAGTGTGTCTAGCCCTGAGCCCCAGGCCAACTGAAGGCAGCTTAGATCTTTGGGAGACTAGTGAGTTTTAGGCCACAATGGAAGGGGCCCGATCCTATTGCTACTCTTGTCCTTCACCCCACCCCCACCCCCAGTCGGTCACCATGGTGTCATGTCTCACTAGATTGTGACCTCTTAGCAGCAAAACCTGAGCCTTGACTCTTGTGAGATGTCCAGCATGCTGTGGGGCAGTCCAAGAAACTCTCCGTACTGGCTTAGTGCAAAGGCCAAGAGGAAAGGATTTAGAAGATGAGCTTCATTTGTGGGTCACTGAAAGCCTCTTCCAAGCCAAACTGCAGGATTGGGAGTAGAAGGTGGCCTTGTCCTCCAGCTGATGATTAGTGTTCACGTACAGGCAACCCCAAAAAGCTAACTTCAGAATCTCTGTAGTTCAAGGGGAGGCGCTCTCAACCAAGTGGGTATCCCTGGCAAGGGCATTTAGAATAGTTCAGTGTCTGGGGTGTGTATACAGCCAGCAGTTGTCTGCTTGCAGCTCTGCCTCTGTCTCTTGGTTCCAAGGAAGTCTGCATTGATTCACCAGGGCTTCACTGAGCTACATTCCTAACTTCTGACTACTGTCCGTTTTATTGGCGGACTTTCAGGTGGTTTCTTCCAGCTAGATGGGTTGCTGTTGATGCTGTGGTTTTCAGCCCTCAAGCTTCCAATTCATATCCTACATCTGTTACTAATTACTGTAGTCCAGCCTTATACTACATAGACTTTTGTAGGCAGGGTAACCAAACTAAGTTTCCTATGGGATTTTGCTTTGTGCTAGTGATTCCCTATGGTTGCATTTAACCAATATGGAGACAATGCAGCAACGTATAAGTCAGTGCTGGAGTTTACTGGACAATGGGCAAGTTTGGCATGGCACAGAGGCATGCTGCGTTTGAAAGCGTAAAGGCGATACTTTTGAAATCCTACAGATTGGAGGGGTCATGCTGTCTTGAACCAAAGTTAATTCCTTTTTCTTTTTTTTTCTTTTTCTTTTTTTTCCCCCGTTAAGCAAAAGCTGGCAGGCTGACAAACAGGCAGCTAACAGGACGGACTCTCTGGCTACTGACCATTTAGCTGGTAAGTTACCTTTTGTATTCTTCAGACTTTCCAGTCCCTTGGCCACCTGCTCAGCAAAGAGGAGCAACCAGCGTTCTGCTGTGACCATGTGTCCACAGCTGCCTCTTCTCGTGAAACACTTACAGGTCCCTCAAGCAAACGTGTGCTTGAAAGGCCGTTTTTTCTGCGGCTTCATCCCATCCAGAGTCACCATGGACCCGTTTTATTTTAAACCCCCACAAAGCCACAGCTTGATGAGTGTGACTTAAATATTAGTGGGTACTGGTCTGCCTGTGGCCCCTGCTGTGGGGGCACAGGCCAGTGGCTTTTAAACTTTTTTGTTACCCAGCTGAAGAAAATGACCGCTGGCCAGGACCCAATGTAGCGCTGTCGTTGGACTAGAGTGTGGGCTCGGGTGGGGCCAGGAATGAGGAGCTTGGGGGTGGGAGGAGACTCTGGGCTGGGCCAGGGGATTGGGGCACAAGGCTGGGCACAGCCTCATATCCAGCAACTCAGTCAGCAGAGCAGCGGGAAGTCTAAGGCTGCTTCCCGCGCTGCGCCCTGGAAACAGCCAGCAGCAGGTCTGAGTCCTAGGCAGAGGCGCACAGGCGGCTCTGTGCACTGCCCCCGCATGGCAGCCAGTAGGACTGTAGGGCTGGTGCTCGGGGGAGGGCAGTGTGGAAACCTCTGGGCCCCTGCCTAGTGCCAGGACAGGCAGGAAGCAATCTCCACTGCTCACCTGGTCAGTCCACAGCAGGGTGGCCCAGTACCTGCCATTGCATGGCCCACACCCAGCTCCCAACCCGGACTTTGAAAATACTGGTCTAGGTGACACCCCTCGGCCTCCATGCACTGAGTTTAGAAAGTGGAACGTTGGGCCGTGTTAAGGTCAATAGGTTCCGTTACTGGACTGAACGAGAAGCTTGCGACTGGGGGCTGCTATACGCTGCTTTCTTCTTGTTACAGCAGCTCTGTTTTAGGGCTCCAAGTAACTCAGACCTTGCTCTTGATGCAAGTTTCATGCCGCTTGTAGGGCTGTGGCCAAGCCTGAGGAGAGTGAGAGGACTCAGAGTACCCTGGATGAATCTGAGAGCGCCTTGCTAAATGCTTACAATCTAGATTTGCTGCTAACATTTGTTCAGCAAAGGTACTCGAGACCTAGTAGAAACTGGAGACAAGGCTAGGCAAGATACAGAACCTTCTTCAGGCTCTGTTGTCCTTTGTAATAATGCAGAATCAGGCCCCTTGGTCAACAGGAAAAAGCCCCTAGAAGTGGCTTTTGCTCCAATCTGGTCGCTAATGAATAGAGCCCAGCAGATCTGTGGATATTCACTATCTGTTTACAGATTAGATGCAGATCCCAGTTTGGTATCCATGCAGGGTTCTACTAATGAACTCTTATTTATTTTGAGGGGGGTGTAACAGAACAAACCACAAACCACTTACCATCAGTTTGTCCCTAGATGACAAATGTACAAACAAGAAACGGTTTCCCCTTGATACTGAACAGCATCTCTTAAAGTCGCTGTTTCCTTCCTGGGCATGGAAGGGGGAGGTGATTTGCTTTTATGGAGGCTCTCAGATAAACACAGTGAACCCTTCACCCCACGTGAAGGTCTAAAACTAGTCTCCTAAATTCTGTCTATGTGGAGATCCACCTCTCCCTGGCTTTGGCTGCCGGGATCCTGGTAACAAGCAGTGCCCCTTCTCTCTCCCAGTGGCATACCCGGACTGTGTGTGGGTGGGAAATCGACAATGAGCTCTGTGGCAGTTTTGACCCAGGAGAGCTTCGCTGAACACCGCAGCGGCCTGGCTCAGCAGCAAGTGAAAGGTAAGGCCGCCCCCACGTTCCTGTGGACTCCCGCTTGCTGTCCTCTGCTGCCTGCGTGTGCGTCAGAATTGCTAGGCTGTGTTCTTGTGTGTTGGGGCATCAGATCACGGTTGCCCACCCAGCTTAGAAGGGTGGTATTTCGGATCTGCTTTGCGTGGGGGTAAATGACCCTGCAGAATCAGGTCCTCGGCCTCTACCGGGACACCCCCCCCTTCAGCAGATAGTGACAGCAGAGCTGTGTCTGTAGAACAGGATGTATGTGGGAGAGCAATATGCGGTGATAGCTCTTTCCATAGCCGGTATCGGGCATGGGGGGCTGTTCCCTGCCATGCTCATGCAGGTTTTCATGGCCATAGCTACTGACGGACTTCCCATCCTCCCAACAGAGCCGGCCAGCACCAACATCAGAAGAGTTGCGTCTGTGTCGCAGCAGGTCTGGTGTGCCTGGAAGCCTTTGCTAATCCATAGTGGATCAGACCTGAGTTGCCCCCTCTTGCCCAGTGTCCAGGACTTCGCTGGACTTTCTCTGCTCTGTTTGATCCAGCCCCTCATTCTCTTTGCTTCAGAGCGACTCCAACCTGCCCCTTCTACCTTCCTTGCCCTTGCCCTATCTGCATTCTCTTTCCTTTCTTTGCATGTAGCTGATCCCTTCCTAACTCAAGGCACCCTCAATGTGTGTCACTGTTACACCATTTGCTGCCATCGCTTGTTTGTTCTGCCGGCGTGTTCTGCTGGTTTTTCCTCACTTTGTCATGTCTATATAGATTGCAATCTATTTGGGGCAGGGACTTGTCGCCTCCTCTGTTTGTTCAGTACCTGGACAATGTGGCTCCGTTCTGTATTGGTCCTTAGGCACTGCCATAATAAACATAATTACTTAGGACGATTCTAAGGTGCACAACCTACTTCCCTCAACCCTACTTCAATAGTGATGTGCAGTGTATCCAAATGGGAGACTTGCTAGCAGTTAAATTGTTTGTCTTGCTTGCCTCACTGCAGTTGCAGCTTTGAATTCTGAAGAGGAGAATGACCCTCCAACTTACAAGGATGCCTTTCCTCCCCTCCCTGAGAAAGCCACATGTCTGGAACCTGCTCAGGAACCAGCTGGTGCCTGGAGCAAAATTCGACCAATCAAGGCTTCTGTCATCACTCAGGTTGGTGGAAGCCAAACCTCTCTCCTCCCCACCCTAAAAACAATACAGATGAGTAGGGCCCTACAAACTCTTCTGTGCAATCCGATCCCCCCTGCCACTCCTAGCTGCTGTTGCTGTTCTAGCTGCCTGTGGAAGGACCGAAGTTGTCCTTTCCCAGCACAGCCACTCCTGGTGGGAAGCTCAGACACATCTCCAGAAGCAGTACAGAAATGAGGATGAGACACCCTCACTTGTGCACAGCAGCAGCCTGGGAGCTGGGTTTCGGGTTTCTTGTCTTCCTGCCCTGACTCCTGCTATAGCTCCAGTCACTGAGCTCAGTGCTTCAGAAAAGGGCAACAAAAATGACTAGGGGTTTGAAATGGGTCCCATATGAAGAGAGAGAGAGCATGGAAAAGAGGAGACTAAGGGGGATATGATTGAGATCTGTAAAGTCGTGACTGGTGTGAAGAAATGAATAAGGAAAAGTTATTTACTTGTTCCCATCATTTCATTTGGTGACCCCTAGTTCTTATGTGAAGTGAATAGGTAGCAGGTTTAAAACAAAAGGAAGTTTTTCTTCATATAGCACACAGTAAACCTGTGGAACTCCTTGCCAGAGGAGGTTGTGAAGACCAGGAATTTAACAGGGTTCAAGAAAGAGCTACATAAATTCATGGAGGTTAGGTCCATCAGTGGCTATTAGCCAGGATGAGTAGGAATGGTGTCCCTAGTCTCTGTTTGTCAGAGGCTGAAAATGGGAGACAGAGGAGGGATCACATGATTTTCCCCGTTCTATTCACTCCCTCTGGGGCACCTGGCATTGGGCACTGTAGGCAGGCAGGACATTGGGCTGGACCAACCTTTGGTCTGACCCAGTCTGGCCATTCTCATGTTCTTCCTACTGCTGCAGCTTCCACCCAAGCTGCTCCAGCCAGGGTTCTCTCTGCTCTGGGGTTTCAGCTGTGGGGCTGCTTCCAGGACTGAGCGACCCATTTTTCCTGGGGGGTTTGGAAATGGTCAGAGGCACCAGCATTAATCTGTCCCTGGTGTGGGTGCCTTGTCGGCACAGGAGAGATCCTACACCCCCTCCACTTCCCTACCCCACCTCTGACTGCTGGGAGGGTCCTGCCTTAGGAGGCAGCACAGAAGTGAGCATGGCAATTCCTGGGACCTTTCTACACCAACTTTGCAGCCCTCCATGATCCTGCTTTGGGTCAGGACCCCACAGTTACAGCACTGTGACCTTTCAGATGTTTACATGTGATCCTGACAAACTTTAAAACCCTCTGGCTGCGAAATTGACGGGACTAGACTGTGAATTTGGTAAGGCCCTACAGACCAGCATCCCTTCATGCAGTCGGTAGTGTGCTGAGGGAGGATGGAGTGTGGTTTCCTCCTCTCCACTGTCCCAGGGAGAGGAGGGCCTGTAGGTGAGAGGGATACGGCAAGAGGGTTAAACCAAAGGGCTCTGGCTGCAGAGAAGGTATGCCTGCATTGCCAGGGCTCGACAAATAATGCAGTCTGCTCGCCTGTGGCGAGTGGATTGCAACCCGGAAGAGTTCGGGTTCAGGCATTCTGCGCATGCTCAGAACGATCTGCACATGCGCAGAACACTGGAAAGTGCCGCTGGCGAGCGGGGCTTGCCGCAGTTCAGCGAGCCCTGTGCATTGCTGTAGGACAGAAGTTGGCCAAAAGGCTTATTCTTGACTGTACGCCCTCATTTTGGTGAATAGTATTGGTACTCCTGAGCCTGGACAAGAAATCCAGAGCTCCAAGAGCTAATACTGCCACTGAAGGGATATAAAACAGGAATGTGAAGGACTAGTCACTCCCCCCGGCCCCATCAGAAAGAGATAGCGGGAGAAAGGAGGGCACTTCAAAGTGGCAGGGCCACGTGGAGCCTGGGGCCAGCTGGGGACTCCTCCACTGACTCCAGATTCCGTGTGGCGCTGCCACTTTGAAACGCCACGTGGAGCCTGACGCTGGGCTCCCCATGGCATTTCAAAGCGGCAGCGCCGCATGGAGCCCAAGGTCAGCGGGGGAGTCCCCAGCTGATCCCGGGCTCCACGGGGCCCTGCCACTTTGAAACTCCATGTGGAGCATGATTCCGGGCTCCCTGCGGCATATCAAAGCCCAGCTGACCTTGGGCTTCATGTGGCGCTTTCGCCTTGGAAGCTCTAGTGCTGTTGGTATACTTCAAAGGCAGCGGCGCCCCATTGATTATTTAACTAGTCAATTACTTGCAATTTTAACATCCCTAATATAAAAGTTCATGCTTCAGGACTTAGAGATGAGCCTAACCAGCCTTGGGAGGCAAGAACAAGTACCCTAAATCTGCTTGCTGTGGGTTCTTGCTCCTTCCTTCGAAAGCAGGTAATCCTGGCGGACACGGGGACCTCAACTAGGATTCAGTAGGACAGTGACTATTGCCTGGAATGCAGAGAATTCCTGTGGCATAAATAAAGCATATAATTAAAACTGCCCTACCTTGATGGCTCCGCCTACTGCATGAGTATCTTAATTATCGTGAAGAGCCAGGGTAGTAACCCTATTCCTAGCTGAAGCGGTAGGGCTGGTCCATAGAACTCAGCAGCCTGTGTCATGCTGAATAAGCTGCCCTCCTCTTACTTGTTTCTGGGTTGGGCAGGTGTTTCATGTACCACTGGAAGAGAGGAAATACAAGGACATGAACCAGTTTGGAGAAGGAGAGCAGGCCAAGATCTGCCTGGACATCATGCAGAAGACTGGGGCTCACCTGGAGCTCTCTCTAGCGAAGGACCAGGGCCTTTCAATCATGGTCTCTGGCAAGCTGGAAGCTGTCATGAAGGCTCGGAAGGAAATTGTCGCTCGGCTTCAGACCCAGGTGAGTGTATCTAACTGTTCTCTGCTACTTGTCTTTGCTTCTCCCTCCAGATGCCCAGCTCTTGGGAGGCCTTTGGGCATGGGTGCTCAGACCAAAGGCTTGTCATTAGATGACTAATCCAGTCTTGCCTCTTTCAAAGTGCCCAAATGATGAATTGGGATGGAGACTGGGGTTCAAAGCTAATTACAGGCCATGGTGCAAACTCCTCCCCAGCTAGATCCCTGCAGCATCTGCTACAAAGACGGCACTGCACCTGGAGAGACTGCAGACCCCTCACAAGAGGCCTAGTATATCCCATGACAGACCCTGAGCAGTGGGCGGCAGGAGTCTGAGTGGGGGTAGACACTGAATTCCTTTCTGTTCCCCGAGTGCCCGGGGCGGGCTGCTCCAGAGCAATCAGGAATGTCCTAGAGCCAATTGGAAGGGGCCAGAGGCAGCTGAGACAGGCTCGTCCGAGCACCTGTAGCCCATGAAGAATCTGCTGGGACTAGTTGAAAAGGGCCCCCTTGGGGAGGGCGGGGCGCCAGGCGCTGGGAGAAGGGTGGTGTTCTGCGCTGCGGAGGAGCTGGCAGACAAGCATGCTCGGGTACCAGGAGGGAGGTGCTGGGCAGAGCTGGCTTTGCTCTGGTAATGGATGATGAACTACCTGCTGCTGCTGCCATTAGGGGCTTGGGTTTCTCCCCCACACCCCAGAGAGGGGAGACTGAGGCGACAGAAGGTCTCGCCCAAACCCATTGACTGGCCTGTGATGTGGGTGTGTCTGCCTACGGAAAGGGGCAGAGGCTCCTCAGAGGCAAGGCCTGGCCACCTGGAAGTGAGAACCCCTGAGGCAGAAGGCCGGAGCTCTGCCTGGTACAGCTGGTTAGATGGGAGGTGCTGAAGGAGAGGTGTCACTAGGGACAGAAAGTCATTGCACCGGGGGTTGGATATCCTAGCTCCCAGCCACCAGCACCCAAAGCCCGGGCTTTCCTCCTCACTGCTGCATGTTTCCAATCTGTCTGCACAAGGGAGTGAGCTTCCTGCCGTCTGTTCTTTGACACCTCAGCTCGCTTTCGACTTGCTGTTAGTTTCTCCAGTGCATTCTGGCTTGAAGCAGTTGCCAGTGATAACGCTAAGGGGGACACCACAGCGGCACCCTTCCACCCACACGCTGCCCCAGCCAGAGGGCAAAGAGTGATACGAGCTCTACCCAGGGCACATCTGGGAGGGCAGGCTGCCCAGATGTAGCGCCTGTGGGGCCAGCATGCCAAGATTGCCTGTTACCCTTGCCCATGCCCAGACAGAGTCGTTGTCCATCTGTGCCTCATGTCTGTGTCTCTTACACCAAGAGCAGTAGGCAGTAAAAGTGTCTCTCTGGGTCACCCCCAAAGGCAAAACCCGAAGTCCTTGTCTTTTGGAGGTGGGTGGGTGTGAATGTCCTGTCTCGACAGGTGCTGGTATCCAGGGATCCCATGGGCCCATACTCCTGAGCCACCAAGATGGCAAAAAGGTTAAAACTAAAGTGATGGGCTATTCAAGACAAGGACACATTTGCTCGCGAGCACCCACCCACCTACCTACCGCTTAATGGCCGATCCCGAGCCTGGCAGCTACTTCTGCAGTCTGGGGATTGCTCAGAGCCCTTCCCTTGCAGAGTGCACGTTCCCACCAACAGCCCCTGCCCTCTGACTTGAGCGCGGCCTTGGAGTCCCTAGTGAGCAGGTACCCGCGTGTATTGGTCTCAATGTTGGCAGCAGAACCAGCACTTTCACCCTCAGGCCTTCTCTTTAAACTCCAGCTGCTTGTCCTGCCCCTGCCCATGGTGTATCCAGGGGACCTTGCCATCCCCAACCAGGCCACTTTGGTCTCCAGAGCGCCCTTCTCGCCTCTCTCCCGAGCTCTACTCGAAATACAGCTCTTGGGCTGAGAACAGGATTTTTCACTTGTGTTGGTAGTCCAGGTCCACGGAGGGAAATCCTTCGTATCTTCTCCCTGGCAGGAACATAGCCACGGGCTCAGGGAATGTGTCTTGCTCTGTAGTGCGCTCCTGGGGGGCAGCCAGCCTGGGCCTCTGCTTCTAATTGTGACCCAGGAGTGTACTGACTCGCATGTTGGGCTGCTCTGTTGCAGGCTTCAGCGACAGTTGCCATTCCCAAGGAGCATCACCGCTTTGTCATTGGCAAGAGTGGGGAGAAGCTGCAGGACCTGGAGCTCAAAACTGCAACCAAAATCCAGATCCCCCGCCCGGAAGACTCCAGCAACCAGATCAAGATCACTGGCACCAAGGAAGGGATTGAGAAGGCCCGACACGAGATCCTGCTGATCTCCGCTGAGCAGGTATCTCTCTTCCCAGCCTCCTGGGAACAGATGGACACCTGCTTGCTGCCCCCATGTACGAAGGACCACAGTGCAGTGGGGAAACGGCTGCCTTTAGTGCGCCTCAGAGTCAGGAGCCCTGGCGTCCAGCCGTGACTGCCACTGGCTGTTTGTACAGAGCTGGCAAGGAAGTGTGAGCCTTTTGAAATGCTGAGATCCTTGGGTGAAAGGAGCAGGGGCCTCAGGGCTGGGAATGTTGTGATCGGGGCGGTAAGGCTCTTCCTGCCCCTGTCTGCATTATGAACAAGGAATGCTTGTGTCCGGGGGGCCAGGCGCTCCGAGGTAAGACGTGAGACTGAAGACTGGGCATCCCTGCATGTGTCCTGGGAACATTCCATGGAGCTCTGGAGAACGTCTCGCTTTGCTTTTGCAGGATAAGCGTGCCGTGGAGAGGCTGGATGTGGACAAAGTGTACCACCCCTTCATCGCTGGCCCCTTCAACAAGCTGGTGAGCGAGATCATGCAGGAGACAGGGACACGCATCAACATCCCACCACCCAGCGTCAACAAGACCGAGATAGTCTTCACAGGTGAAAAGGAACAGCTGGCCCAAGCAGTAGCTCGTATTAAGAAGATCTATGAGGAGAAGGTAGAAGTGCTCTACAGAGAATCTCTCCTTTTCCTCCCTGTGTCTGTCACCCACCGTGTACTCCTCGTGTTGACCCCTTCTTGTTGTGTGTGTTGGGTCTGGTCAGTTGTATTGCTCCCTGCTTTAGGAGAAATGGGTCTTCTGCTGGGGTGAGGTTTTGAATGCTCAGCCTGCAAAGCTGCTTCTGTGGTTGGCCTGCCACAAGGAGTTGTCTGATTGGAACTAAAAAGAAAAAAACCTGAAGAAAGGAGGAACTTCTGGGCTTGGCTTCCTCCAGTAGCTGTCCAGTATGCGTCTCTCCTGCTGACCCTGTTAGCTGCTCTCGCTGTTGATGTTCCAGCTGAGAATTACAGGGCTGCTTTCCGGTGGCTGAGTCTGAATTCTTTACCCTTCTGAAATCCCTAGTGTGTGGCTCGTGTACTTCCTGCAGTCTGGTCTCCCCCTGAGAATGCCATTGGGAGTCGGGGCCTTCTCGTGCTAGACACGAGACACGTGTGCATGCATGGGAGTTCAGCTGAGAGCAGCATGCTTCAGTCACAATCCCTGTAAGCAGGAGATGGGATCCCAGATCGCAGCAGGAGCCTCGTTCTTGCTTTAATTGCCCTGAATACTCCAATTCACTGTCCTGGTTCGTTCATTCTTTCCCTTGCTCCTTTCCGGGCACAGGGTTTTTACTGTATCTGGTGGCTCCCTTCTCTCCCCGCTGTGCCCCTGCCCCGTGTGAGTGATGCCTTTGCGCCTCTTCCCTACCCAGAAAAAGAAGACTACAACCATCGCAGTGGAGGTGAAAAAGTCCCAGCACAAATATGTCATCGGCCCCAAGGGGAATTCCCTGCAGGAGATCCTGGAGAAAACGGGCGTCTCTGTCGAGATCCCACCCACTGACAGCAGCTCTGAGACGGTGATACTGCGTGGCGAGCCTGAGAAGCTTGGGCAGGCGCTGACCGAAGTCTATGCAAAGGTAACACTCGTTGCAAGCGAACGGCCATCGCTCTTAGGCGGGCCCCGCGCCCTGCCATGTCCTGGCCAAAAAACGTCCACTTGAGTGGCTCCCAGGCCACGGACATCTGCACTGTGCTCTTGTGACCTCTGTGCTAAGCAGGCTGGTGCTGATGGGAGCTGACAGCCCTTCATAGGCTTTCCTCTTCCCTAGGCAAACAGCTTCACCGTCTCCTCCGTCTCTGCCCCCTCTTGGCTTCATCGTTTCATCATTGGAAAGAAAGGACAAAATCTGGCCAAAATCACTCAGCAAATGCCAAAGGTACAGATGATCCATGGCAAAGCCCCACTCCATAGGGTGCCTCGGCCTCTTTCCTCCGAGAGCGCCTCTGCCCTTCTCTCCAGCCCCTCAGAGCGTCGGTCGGGAACCCTGGGAGATACTCTCACGATGTCACTGGGAATGGAGAGGAGCGGGCACTTTCCGTGCTACCGCCCTTGCCCTTCCATTAGCTCCTTCTGGCATAAGGTCACACAGTTGCTAGGGCAGGCTGAACCCTTTGTTTGGAAGTTTGTGCGACTCTTATTAAAGAACCACAAGAGAGTCATTGCGTTGCTATGAGGTAGTCATGCAGGCCTTCAAAGGGTGAGTGAGCAGAAAATCTGCTATCTGTGAAGTGGGTGGATCCATGGAGTGAGGTGCCCAGAGTTGCTGTGGGAATCAGGAGTAGAACACAGGGCACCTTCTCTAGACACGCTACCTTGTGGCCTTTTGATGCGAGGGACCTTCCCTTCATACAAAGAAGGGCAGTCTAACACGCAAGTCGTGTGCTCCCTGGGCGGAGGAAACGAGCCAGTCCTCTGCAGCAGAGATGGATGGCTTTGTAGCACTGATCTTGCTTGCTCGTCCTGAAGCTCTCTGCCATGTTCCTTGTGTTAAAGGTTCACATCGAGTTCACTGAAGGGGAGGACAAAATCACCCTTGAGGGTCCCACAGAGGACGTGAATGTGGCTCAGGAGCAGATCGAGGTCATGGTCAAAGATCTGGTGAGTGGGAATGGAGTGTCAGTGAGGTAAGACTCTGCGCTGTGGAAAAGAACAACAACGTGGATGTGGGTACCAAGAAACAAGGACAAGCTTGCGTAGCCGCCTTACATCCCCAGATGCTGAGCAGGGGCACGAGAGAAAGCAGGCAGGCTAGAGACTTCGTACCAGGAGTTGAAATGAAAGCATCCCCTCTCTGCCCCAAGTAACTTGCCTTAAGCCCTCCCAAAGAGCTGGGGTGTTGAGGCGATACAGGACCGGGAGCTTTCATCCCAGGATTGGTGGGCTTGCATGGGGACTTAGTGCCCAGTGTGCAGGTTGAACCTCTGAAAACCAGCACTACTTGTTGCAGGGCCAGAGTCTGTGGTGTGCTGGTGCCTAGGAGCCCTGTGGGCCCAGAGTCCGGTTCCCCGCAGCTCGGCTGCCGAGCGCGCCCCAGCAGTACTGCTCGGTGGAGCCTGGAGCGCCTCAGCGGAACTGCCTGCCGTGGGGACTTGCAGGGCCTGAGGCAGGTCCGGGGGTGGGGGGGTTGGATATGACCTCCCCTGGTCTGGCAAAAATCCTTCATCCGAGACCGGTCAGGCCCCGGGGTGCTGGACCAGGGAGGTCCAACCTGCAGTTCAGACTAGTTACTACTAGTAACTTGATGGCCCTCCTCAGCTGACAGCAGTGTCTAGTGGTCAGGCTTACCATTGACCTTCGGTTACCAAGGACAGCCGATGCAAGAACTGGTGCTCTGCCGTCTGCCTAACCCTGCCCTGCTCTTCGCAGATCAACCGGATGGATTATGCAGAGATCACTGTGGAAGTGGAGCCAACAGTGAGTGGTGCCTTTTGGTGGGCCGCGTACGACACACTTACCACCGTGCTTTGTGGGTTCCTCAGTCTCCCACGCCTTGTCCCTGTGCTCAGCAGCAGCTTCTCCCAGGGCTGCTAGTTCAAGGGTTGCTAGCGGAGGAGCGAGCTGCAAGGCTTGCTTGAACTCTCCAAGTTGTCCTGGCGGATTGGATGGGTGCTCCAAGGTGACAGGCCTCGCTCCAGCTCCGGGTGGCACGTTAATGCCAGAGGGAGGGGTTCATGCCTAGAACAAGTGAGATTCTAGCTGCTCACCTGGACTATGGTCCTGTAGGGTAAATGGGATTTGTTCCTTCAGCAGGTGCAAATGGACATCTCTTGATTCAAACCGCTGGGATGAGGGGTGTTTTCCAGGGGGAAGGGGTTCCTATTGCATTCCTTAGGCTTGTGGACACAGTGCTGCCTGTTCCTCTAGGCTCTCGCTGGGTGTTCCCTAGTGTACATACACAATCCTGCTTCTGCTGAGCTCCCAGGTGGAAAAGCTCTACCTCCCCACCCCTTCTCCCGGCTGGTACTCCCTGTGTCTGGAGCCTCCTTGGGGAGGCTGGCCTAGGGTTCGGGTAGTCCCTGCCGTAATGACGCTTCCAGTCCTGCGCTGGTAGATGTGACAGACTGGCCGCGTGTTCCAGCAAAACCCTTCTCTTGCAGTTAACCGGATCAAGGACCAGTACAAAGTATCTGTGCGCATCCCCCCGGACAACGAGAAGAGCAATTTGATCAGAATTGAAGGAGACCCTCAAGGTGTCCAACAAGCCAAGAAAGAGCTGCTGGAACTTGCCTCCCGAATGGTGAGGGAGAAGGCTCCCCAGAACTGCCTTTGCCAGCGGGGTTTCTGGCCGCGTGTCTAACGTTTCTGGGACTAGCGCAGAGAGGCCTTTCCCACAGCTGGCGCGTGTGCCGTGCTGTACGCTTGCTGGGGGCTTTGCTGAGTCCACCTCTTGGCTTTCGGCGCCCTAGCTCCAGGCTGGCATAGGCAGGAAGGGCGTGGAACTCCTCCTGATGGAAACCTAATTGCATCTGTGTGTTGGCAGGAAAACGAACGCACCAAGGACCTAATTATTGAGCAGAGATTCCACCGAACCATTATTGGGCAGAAGGGCGAACGCATCCGGGAAATCAGAGATAAGTTCCCAGAGGTACGGCACCTCTAGCAACCTGCATTTGGGGTCTGTGGGACTGTTCCTCCTTTAGAGGGGCTGCTGAGACCCCAGCTGAATGGACTGTGGTGTTCTGCTGCCACCTCGTCCCCCATGGGGCCCTCAATGAGGGTTCGAACAGGGGACCTTTGGCACCAAAAGCGCAGGCCTCTACCACTGGAGTTCACGGAGCCCCTCTGTTTAGCGGTCGTGGCTAGGAGCCTGCTGTTCATGTGCACCAGCCGTTAGCTGGGACCCTTAGGTACGAGAGTGTTCACACGGATGCCTTCCACTGAAGGGTTTCTGAGTCCTGGCACAGGAGGATCCTGCTGTGTTATGGGTCTCCTACCTTGGCAGGTCGCACCTTTTAAACATGAAGAGATGTTTTGTTTGCTGTGAAGTGACATTTCTTGCAGGTTATCATCAACTTCCCAGACCCAGCCCATAAGAGCGACATTGTCCAGCTTCGAGGACCCAAGAACGAGGTGGAGAAATGCACCAAGTACATGCAGAAGATGGTGGCAGATCTGGTATGAGAGCTTCGTGGCTTGTCTTGCACACCTAGCTCTAAGTTTGGGAATAGAGAGCAACTACTGGCATCGCGCCTGAGCTCTGTCAGAAACTAGTAGCACGGGGGAAGGCAACCTCGTTTGGGTTAGGGGCCACTGACCCACAGAAAAATCAGTCAGGGGCTGCACACAAGTGAGGGGGGGGACCCTCACTGTGCCCCTGGCTGTGAGAAGGGGAGACACTCCCTGCATTCCCCTTGCACACCAGAGCCTAGCAGGGGCTCCACCTAGTAGACTGTACACTGGAGCACCAGCATGGGCTCCCCAACGCTGGGGGGGAGGGAGGGGTTGAGTCTCGGTGACTGGCTCCAGGCAAGCCGAGGGCCACGTCTGGCCCCCAGGCCTGAGGTCGACTGTCTGTCGGTGGCCCCCCCCTCCGTTGGAGCCGATGAGTGAGATGCCTGTG